CTTCGTCTTAACCCCTTCTGTGCTTGTGCATGACCTTTCAGTGAAAAACTCAGCCTCAGACACATGCGAAGCGGGGCAACCCCCCAGCGACCCCTTACGAAGCCGGCTAAGCCTTCCTGCAAGGGCGGGACAGATAGGCGCCCCCACGCACTGTGCAAGCTCTGATCACGACACTGAGGCATCCTTGCCATGAGAGCTGGCCTGGATTTCTTGTTGGCTTTAGGAGCTTCCTCCTAAAAAACGGGTTATTTTCAGTTGGGAGAGAGATGTATCGGACACAAGAGGCACCCAAACCCATCACTACCAGAGGCAAGCGTTTAAGTCTCGTATGAACTCTGAAGAGAGGCCCACAGGGGAGACGGAAGCCCCTACAGATGCGTCTACGCCGGCAGATGCACACACTTAATGGGAACTCAATCATAACGGGAAACTTTCCATTTCAGAACAGCTACAATCTAAACCTTTACATATTCAGACAAGTTTTCACCTCTTGCGAATGCCTTGCGTTTTACCCAGAGCCCCTTCTCCTAGCTACCTCCCCTTGCCACGCACAAACGTGGGCTATGAAGATGGACGAAAGCAAGGAAACAGGACCGTCAACGAAGCTCTATGTACAAGCAAAGGCCACCTCCACAACCAGCAGCGCAGAAGACTAGAACGTGTCAGTGTTGTTCTGATCGCTTTATGAAACAAGGAATTTATGTGAAATTAGTAGCATGATGAATCTTATACTCTTGGCAGACAAGCTTACTCGCCCCCTGAGCTCTTTTCAGAACAGGAGCCCTTCCCACTCACCTTCAGGAAGCCATGGGGCGGGGCGGGGGGGGGGGGGAGGCCTCCCCAGCAAGGCCACTGCGGCATCTAGAGCAGGACAGCTCTGCCCCATGTGGGACGGTCCATCGTCTGCAGGAGCTGAGCATGCCTGCCTCTGCCCAGCACCTTCCTGATACCCTGGGATTGGGGTGGGGGGGGGGCGGACAGAGGGCAATGACCCCCCAGTGGAAGGACACCACGTGACCCCATCCCCACCACACCCCACGCCCTCCTGTGCCCTTGCTCCAGCATCCTGACAGCCCCCCACGGCAAGGCAGGCCCCTACTCTCTGGCGGACTTCTGGTGGCCCTGGCGCACGCTGCTAGCTGCCACCCACCCACTCAAAAGTCATCGTGCTGTGGTTTCAAATGGGCTTGACCTTACTCGCGATCGTCTCCTGAACCGGGCGGGCCACTTCCACACGACCCTTCTTCAGGCTTTTCAATGCAATGACCGGTCCCCGCTACCCTGCCCTTCCTTGTGCCCGGGCCTCCCGCCAGCCCTGCTCGCTGCCAATCCACACCCCGCTGAGCCCCTCAGACCCGGTGACCGCCACCAGCCGCCACGTGCATGGTGCAGTCAGGAGAGCTCCTCATGCCAGAGCAAAATGTATACTTTGGGATAACAATGGAATGATGGTGATTTCATTATTTTTATTGTTATAACCATTATTGTCACAATAGCGAACCACTGAGTCCTTGCAAGGCGCCAGGCACCCCATGTGTTTTACATGCGTGACATTGCTTAACGGTTTAGAATACAAGTACTAGGCAGAGAGCTCCGTTACCCGCAGAACACCTCAGAAGAGCGCCGGGAATGACCGAGGGCTCCTGACACGGTAACGTGAACGGCAGTCCTGCCTCCATGAGCTGAGTGTGGCCTGCGCCCTCCAGGCAGGCATGCGGACGCCCTGGGGTGTGACAGCGGGCATCACCCGACACTCAGATATTTAATGTGACGGCTGATGCCCTACGACAGCCACTGATGAAGCTGTGGTTGTAAACAACCTGATCGAGGTCTGATCGAGGTCCCCAAGGTCCCGGCCACCGAGTCCAAAGAGGAGAGTGAAATGGCTCATGATACCAGAAATGAGATTTTTCCTACAAATTCACTGTATCTAGTGTCATATAGTAAAACTGTTTAGTAAAAAAAGACAGACTCGGAACCCCTCCTGCCTCCAGTGCTGGAAATCAGGTTCGTGCCTACAGGGCCGAGCGCACTCCGCGGGCACCGGGAAGAGCGGGCGAGGACTCCTCCTACGGTGTGCGGCTTGCTCCGTTTCTGACGGTGCGGACGCCGGCACTGTTCAGGACAGACTCATAAGTCACGAGCCAGAGGACAAGCGTGGCTTCTAGCAAGGCCGGCCCCTTCGGCGCGGCGTCCTTGTCGCAGGCCCAGGGCAGCCCCGTGTGGCGGGCGTCCCCTCAGCCTGAAACCTACACAGACCGCTGCAGAAGGGCTGTGTCTCTACTGTGTGTGGGAGCGTGATCAGGTAAATGGCCTTCACTGGGTGTCTTACCTTGGTCTTAAAATTTGGTATCTGGTTTCTTCACTGTGTGTATTATTGATACCAGTAAAAACAGATTATCACACATCTTCCATAAAATGACTGGGGCACGAGTGTCACTGAGTGTGTGCACCGCCTGCAGCAGGCATCCCGGACTATTACAGCGTTTTAAGCGCAGTACAGGGCAGCTGAGTTCACATCCAACTTGGCTGGTGTGGGCTCCCATAAAAGCTGTTACCAGTGAAGGCAAAAAAAATAAGAATTGGCTCTACTAAGGGAATAAGAAACGCAGTTACAAAACACTTCAGTCACATTAACGCCCTCACGGGCCTTTGTCATGCAGGCGCGTAATCTCGGGGCAATGAAGCGCTGGGTAGCAGTCATTCCAACATAAATTTTATTTCTGACGTTTACCCTTTTTGAAAAAAATTTAAACCACGAGTGACCTAAGAGATCTTGAAATACCAACTGTGGAAAACCCTTACTTCAGTCAAGGGCGAGAAAAGCCAGAAGCAGAAACGTGCATTGGGCAGCAGGCACGTGACCCGAGGAAGGGGCCCCGTGGGCACAACCGGGCCAGGGACACAGCACGCTTCCCCTCCTGCGCCGGAAGGCGGTCGGCGCGCGTGCCCTGTCAACGTGCACTGCGGTTCCGGGGCGCCAACACATGACAGACAAGGCTTTTCGTTCACCTGAAGTGGTTTTAATGAACAATGTAATCCTGTAAAAATTAACTCTAATGGGAGATTTCTACAAGCCACACAGAAGCGGCCTGGGAATTTAACGTTGCCGTATAAGGAACTGAGCACACACTATGGGATCTATGCATCACCTTCAAAATGCAGGAAGGTATAGGATTTTCCTGTATTTAATGTAGAATAGAAACATATTCAATAAACTATACTTCTAAAATTTTAAAGAACTGAGAATCACTGAAGTCTACTGATTATAAAATGCTTCAAGTCTCCCCGAGACTTAGTCCAGAACAAATGTCTAAACTGGGAAGGCCACACTCACCCTGGTTACACTGAGGCCCAGGGCATGCAGCCCTGACCACCCTCCATGCCCCTCCCCACCCCGGCCCAGGAGGCCTTGAACCCAGGCCTCTGACTTGTACAGCTTCCGACCAGGAATGACAAAAAAGATTCCAGCAGCCTCAGTGCCTCTCCTTCGATTGGATCTGACAATGGTGTAAGTAAAAATGCAACCGAATAGTGGATCAGAATGAGATGAGAGAAAAAACTCATTAAAAATCTTTACACAAAAAAAGCTGACTTTAAGTGAAACGATCTATGGACCTGAAACTTATTTTAGTATTTTCTTTAGAATGGGAACCCTCAGTTTTAAAAAATTTTTAGGATGCTAATCATAATTCAGATAAGAAAAAAGAAGGGAAAAATATCTGTATAGAATGTGTCTTTTCCGTGTTTCAGCGAGCCCCTGGAGGTTTAGTGGGTACCTACTGCATTTTCGTGAATGTGCTCAAACAGAAGAGAGGTCTAGTCCCCTGCGCACATCAGATGGTAAGAAAGCTCCAGTCCCACACACGTGAGAAGCCCCCACCACTACGGTGTTGAGTCCCCAGAGAAGAGCCCTCCCCCAGCAGCTCTCTGCACCTGCACCCCATCAGCCTGCCCGCTGCCCGGGCCCCCGAAGGCACCTCGCAGGGGAAGCCCCTCATCTACAGGGAGGAAGCAGCCGAGGCTGAGAGACCGTGACCGTGGCAGGGGCCAGGTCACGGGGGCCACCTTCTCACCCAACAGGGTGAGGGGCTACTAGCTCGTCCAAAAACGCCCGAAGTGAACATGTCCTCATAAATGCTCTAAAAGCAGGTCTCCTGTCTCCAGTGAGAAAGAGAGGCTCCCAGGAAACAAAACAAGGAATTAAAACTTGAATAGAAGCTCCTTGGGTAGTCACTAAAATCGGGAATCCAGAACGCCCTCTGGGCCAAAAGTGCTACGCTTGCATTCTGAGGCTGTTTGTTTTGGTTTTAGAGTGGCAAAGACTTTAGATCTGATGACGAAGTCCAGATGTCATGATACAAGGGTGGGAACAGCCTCAAAGAGCTGCCACTCTGCTTCTGTGTGTTCTGCAAATCCAGAAAATAGAGGAGTCGTATTACCATGGTAGTTCTGACTCACATCAACACTCAAGTACCTAAGAACACGCCAGAACGTAAAGGACCAAAACCAGGGAGCGCAGGACAGTGCTCCGTGAGCCTAGGTCCAAAAGCCGCTGAAGTCCACCACAGCAGGTAAGCCACCCTTCTTCCCGCCTGAGGTGAGGGCACAATGGCCCGGGTCAGCTCGAGTGACGCAGCGTGCCGTGCTAGGGCCGCAGCAGGCTTGCGGTGACGTGCAAGATCGCAACGTGAGGGCTAATAGAACACAACGTCTTACAGACAAGTTTCAAGAACAATTAAACTACATCCAAACCGAAGTACCTACACGCACATTCATACACATGCCGTGCGCACGTGTGGATCTGTGCTGCTCAACTAGACTAACGGTACGTTTTCCATGTCATGACTTATACATCGTTTAGAGGATCCAAAACTCACCTACATTCGTGGAGAACATCAGTGTTACGCTTGTTAAGCGTGACTTACTCACACTTCAACCTGGGTGACTAAATGGCCTTCACGTGAACGCCACAGTTAACACTATTACTATTATTTTACCTCATTCTCAGTTAAGGATGCAGAAGGAGATGAACTTTTGCTAAAAGGAGTGGACGACGCCGCTGCAGACGCCCGATTTCGCTTCTTCAGTGGTTTGCATGCATCAGACAGATGTTTCGTTGCTGTAAAACAATTTTGGTTTATAAAGTAAAATTCGAAGTCTTAAGCCCTCAATCTCTGTACTACTTTAAAATCACCCTCTAAAAAATGATGTTCTAAAGATAAATTTTCTGGGCTGCTTGGTGATATTAAAGGCTTAATATTTTACTGTGGAAAAAAAAAAAACTCACTGTAAACAAAGGCAAGCTGTACCGTGAGCCCCAGTGTCCCCCTGCCTGGCCCGCGAGTCCATCAACCTGGGGCCCCCAAGGCTCCATCCGCCCCTAGTTTCACAACCCCCTGCCACGTTCTTCTGGAGCACATTCCACACCCCATTTCACCTGCAAAAAGTTCAGTTCATATCTCTGAAGCAAAGTCTTACTGTGGATATAACCATAATATCACCACGTCACTCTTAAAGGTAACACTCAATCCCTTTGTGTCATCAAATATCCACTCAATGTTCAAACTGCTCATAAAGGTCTTTCTTTTAATAGTCTATTTAACTGATTTTTTTAAAAACCAGCACAGCACCTCAGCAAAATAAGGGAAACGAATCCATTTCTACCCCTCATACCTCCCCTGAATGTCATTTCCTTTTCTAATTAAGAGTTGGGGATGGTAAACTCCCTGTAATAAACTATCAGACAGATACTTCAAAAAGATAATGAGAAGGTAAAGGCAGCCTGATTCCCCCTTCATTGTTTTGACAGTTACTCTTCACAAACACTTGAAGCTATTTTCTTCAACATGCGAAATGAAAATAACCAGTCACTACTTTTACTTTTTGCTAATGTAATAAGTGAAGGATCAGCTACTAAAAAGGGATAGAATTTATAGCAACAACTGGCACCATCAAGTTGGAAACTTGGATATTCCTGGTTTAAGTAACTTTTTTAAGTATCATTTTAAACTGAAAATAAAGCCCAGCAAAAATCAGAAGAAAAACAACTTCAGTAAAATTTAGCTGGATCACTAGACCACAGCTTATTTTTCAGTTGTGCAAGTGCCTCCCTTCCACCTCAGCCTCTAAGCTCTGAGCCGCCAGAGTCCTGGGCTCCCTGCGGCCCTGCCCAGCCCGGCGCCCGCTCCCCTGCGGCCCTGCCCAGCCCGGCGCCCGCTCCCCTGCAGCCTGGAAGGGCGGACAAGGAAGAAGCGGGAATAACCACATTACCTGCCTGGCTCTTCAGCGGGGAGGCAGCCTCCAGGGCCTTGCAAGAGCCTGTCCGGGCCATCTTGTCACTCGTCGTCTCTCTCTGCCATTAAATAAACAGACCGGGAGAACAAAAGGAAGGCCCTGACATAAACGGAGAGGCTGCCAGACGGAGGGCAGAGAGGTCCTCCCTGGAGACGTGCTCCGCACGCGCCAGCAGCAGGGACCCCCCTCCCCCTCCCCGCTCTGCCATCTGCTGGGTGGGAGACGGGGGGCCTCAACCCCCCGCCCTAGTCCTGCTGCCAAGACTCGGCGTGGGCGACATTCGATGTGCTTCTCAAACCCGCCTCTGAACTCAAAGTGGAGTCAGTGCCCCGCCCGGCTGTCCTGCCGACCTGAGGGGCCCAGGTCAGTGCTGACATCATCGCGCTAAGTCCCGAATCTGAGGGTTTCAACTTGGGGACCAGCTCCAGGCGAACTTCCCCAAGATCCTCGGCAATGCCCGTGTCACCACTGAGAGAAATCACCCAAAAACACGGTATTGGGATCGTTCTGTCCAACGCTCGGGATCAGAAGTAGGTGAAGATAACGTCTCCCGACGGCCCAGGGGCAGAGCTGCACACGGCCACCCACCCCCTCCCAGTTCCAAGGCCAAGGCCGGGGTCCTGCCCGCAAACCCATCCCCTGCCTGCCCGGGGCCAGGGAAACGGGTCACAGGACCACACAGAAGGCACCCGGCACAGCGTGTGGATCGGCACTTGGCACCCAAAGCACCCCGTGCGTGTCAGGAACTCTCTAGGACGCGGCTTTTTACTCAGGTCGTGAGAACTAAACCCAAGGAGACACCACTACTCTCTTTATTATTTGCTATTTCCTGAGCTATCAGTGAATCAAACATTCCTACCCAGCTACTTAATGCAAATTTCGAGATCTCAAATGTTCAGGGCCACACATTTTTTTAAGGCAAATATGAAATGCAAATATTTCAAAGCAACCAAGGTCCCTGTGATTGCCAGCTTTAACAACACGTGGCCAGAGGGGACACTCACCACGTGCAGACGCCGGTGACTCAAGATGAATTTTACCTATCTTGGCGCTGGACACCTGACAGGTGCCCTGGAAGATGCTCTGTTGACCAGAAAAACTCGGGCAGGGCCCGTCTGCTCCCCTGAGCTGCAAAAGCAGCTTTAAAGACACAGGGTACACCCACACGGCTCGGTCATTTGAGTGTCCGACTCTCGGTTTCAACTCCGGTCATAATCGTGCAGTTTGTGAGATTGAGCCCTGTCAGCACGGAGCGTGCTTGGGACTCTCTCTCTCTCTGTCCCTCCCCCATGTGCACGTGGTGTCTCTCCCTCTCTCTCAAAATACATACAGAAACAATTTTTTTTAACGTTTGAAAAAGAGAATACAGATGATGTGGTGGCCACATATTTACACTTAAACAATATGTGGAATTCATTTCCATTCTTGAAAATAAAATACAACAATAAAGGAAAGAGCCTCTTAATTTAGATTAGAAGATGGTACGAAGCTTTACTCAAAACCTAAGTACACAACTACCCTGAGAGCTATTGCTAAATAGCTTTACACAAACAGATGCGAAGTCTGTTTAAACTCCCAGTTCACAGAGAAGCTAAGTGGATGTGCGAGACGGTTTCCGCAAACGGCACTGAACCACAGAGCACACAGGAAAAGGCTCACACTCTCTACGAGCGTGAGTCCCACACGCCAGAGAGGAGAATCCACTGTCTCTCTAGACGTGTGGACCCTGGCCAGGCAGTAGACCCTTGATACACGTTGGAAGATGCTAGAACTAGAAAGCCCTGGGGCTGCCCTTCTGTCGACCTGGGCCTTCATATTTATGCTGTCACTTTGTTGCATCAAACAGGCCTGCACAGCCTACTTAGCACTTCCTCTAAACAGCAACACGAACTACCAATAACATGAGTTCATAAAATATATTTTCAATGCCTTTAATGGATTTTGAAAAATTTTATTGGAGTAGAAGAGATCTCTAATGGACTTTGATGTTTTCATGTCAACCCATCACTTACACACTGAATAACGGCCCTGTTGACAAGAACAATTTTCAGTATACGATTTCTTTAAACCTAAAAATCAACTATTCAAAGTGTTTGGATATCAGTTTCTCTTTTTTTCCCCAGGTAGAGGATTCATGCCCAGCAGAGCCCAACGTGGGGCTTGAACTCACGATCCTGAGATCACGAGCCAGAGTCAGACACTTAACCGACTAAGCCCCGTCCCCCTGGATGCTGTTCTTTGACAGCCATGCATCCCAAGTTTGGGTTCAAATCATGGGCAGATAGGAACTTGCTCTCTCCAGTGACCTTCTCCAAGGGCTTTCAGGCGGGAAGCACCCACTGACTACAGGTAACCCGGTGCCCGCTAAGCACCGGCCCAGGGGCAGGCCTCCTGCCGCCCACCAACATCCGCGGAAGAGTCACATGGGACACAGTCCTCCAGCCTGGGCAAACCCGGGCACAATTACCTTCCGGAGACCATGCTTGTCGGTCCTGAGTCTCTTCCGGGGAGCGTCTTCAATGTCAACATCTTCAGGAGGGTCCTGTGTCCTCTTTGCCTGGTTTCTTTTTTTCCCATTTACGTTACCTTGGAACGGGGGGGTGGGGTGGGGGGGGCAGACATGAAAAACACTCCTCAAGCCACCCTCCAAGCGCTGTTCACCCCGTCTGGGCATCTGTGTGCAAACCCAGCCCGGGGGGCTTCCCTTGGGCCGTCCTTCAGGGCCGAAGTACCACAGACCGAATCTCTCTGCGTTCTGCAAGCGTAACATCAAACGTTGGAGAACCCTCATCTAATCTACAGATACTTAGATGGGTATTTCTCGTAATTACATTCTAATGAACGAGAACACTGAATGTCAGTTTAACCCAGGAGTTTACCAACATTCAAAGACCATGGAATTTAAGTGGAACTTTAAGGAGGACACCACTCACTACTTTTGCTACGTTTCCTTAAGGAAGCATGTTGGGAAGGGGCACTCCAGTCAGCATCTACACACTAAGGGTTTTCTACGTGTGGTTTGTGCCGATTACAGGTTTCCAGGAAAATCAACTAATCCAAGTCTTAACGCGTCCACACAGCACCGACCTAAGAAAATAAGACGTGGGGTAATCTTACTGTGCAGGAAGAATCTGCAGAGCAAATTCTAGAGAGGTGACTAACTTGAACACGCCACGATTTCCATTTGCAGGACTCTGTTACAGAGGTGCAGCGCTTACTTCTGGACTGTTTGGGAAAAACATCTTGTGGGAGGGCAGCGCTGTCCTCGAACCTCACTACCAAGTGGTACAGAGCACTCGGGCCAGGAGCGTGGCGCCCAGCAGCGCCTCCCGAGGAGGGCACCTGGCCAGGGCAGACCCAAGCACCTCCCAGGGCAGCGTGAGCCGGCCCCCACCCGGCCACAGCACAGAGGTGGCGTGCGGGGCGGTGGCGTCTGCCGAGGGGCCGCCCACGCGCACCTGGCACAGGGCGCGGCCAGCCCGTCCTGCCATAGCCTCCTGCATCTGGTCTGCCCAACCTCCTCAGCACGCGCCCACTGAGCCACAGGCTCCTGCCAGCAGCAACCGCCACCTGGCACCTCACCTTCACACAGGTGAGGGGGAGTCGCAGTCCTTCTGGAAGAAAGTCCCCTGTACCCGAAACGAGGCAGCGCGTTTCGTACTGAGGTAAGCAACGTGCGCATCTGTCTGACTCCGTCACACCGAGGCCACAGCACAGCTCACCCCACAAACACAGCCCGCCATCTTGGTTACCAGCACGGGGCCCCTGGTGGGGAGGCCGGAGGACCCCAGGACAAGCACACACTGGACACACACACAGGGACCAGCCCCACCCCCGTCTGCTAAGCCCTGGGCAGCCGTCCCAAATGACCGCATGTGACCCACGACCACATTCACACTCACTCCAAGGGTAGTTAAATCTGGCTTCTGAAAAACAGAGTCAGGCCATCTTCTGCCTTTTAAAGAAAATGCACAAATCCAAAATATCCTCACTTATCTACATTACAGTATTTGCAACAAGCCCTGAGCCAACTGGACAACGTCAACATTAATGTATCAGAGAGTCACACTGGAGACCTAGAAAGCCCTAAAATCAAGATCTTCTGTGAACACAACAGAAAGGTCTTCTAGTGCGTGTGCAACTGGTCAGATGCACCAGTGCTGATCTAGACACAGTTGGTGCACACAAGGAAAGTGCAGTTACTTCTGGCTCCTGATCCCCTGCGGGGGGGACTCCACACACTTTACACTGGGCCTCTCCAAAGCTCTTCAGTGATGAACCTTCAAGTACAGGACTGTTCTGTATTTTAAACTGAGAGCCAAACACGTCCCACTTATTTTTTACGTCAGAAATGTCAGTTTTCCACAACATGTGTGTCCCAGCACGCACAGATGACAGTCTCCACTGCCCACGGGCCCCAGACCGGGGCTTGGCCAGCCACACTCACACGCCGCACACCTCAGCAGGCACGCCCGCACGGCTTTGGGTTTACCAGAGTCTTCTTCAGCCTGGGGAGAGGCCACCAGGGCGAACTTGGTGTGATAGCGCGCCTTCTGCTTCTCGTTCAGCATGTTCCACTGCGACGCGAGCAGCTCTTCGATCTCCTCGGCCGAGGCGTCAGGGTGCTCCACCACCACCTGTGGGCACAGCAAGGGCGGGGTGAGAAGGCCACGCACCTGCAGCCCCTGGGGTTCCGTCCGCCCCGAGTCCAGGCTCAGCCACAGAGAACTCAGCACGCAGCACATTTACCCCCGTGTCATGGAACCGAGCCCCACAGGAGCATCAAAGAAAACTAGTGAGGATCTGATGCCATCGCCCCCGGATGCTCACTAATAAAAACAGGGTGATGAATCTTATGACAACTCAGGAAATACTAAATGGCAAGAGGAAAATATATATTTTCCCAAAATGACTGAATTATGAGTAAGTTACGATTTTCTAGGTGTCCTGACAAGTCAGCAGTGGGAAAAGTGCCATCAACATGGTGACAGCACATATCCAGGCCTCGGGCACACGCCCGGGACACAGGACACGGGGGACGAGCCAGCAGTGCCATGCCCCATCATGGGCCAGGTGCAGCCGCACCCCGGAAGCACGCCAGAAACCCAGGCCCCGCCCCAGCCTTCCCCGAGGTCTCTGCGTGACTCCCATGCACCCTGAAGTCCGATTCCCGGGCCCGCGGCCTTGGCTGCACGCTAACCACCTCAGGACTTGTAAACCCTCTAGCGCTCAGGCCCGCCAAGGCCGGGTCGCCCTCCGGGCCTGGTGTCGCTGCGGGGAGGACTCTGGGGCTCCATTGTGCTCCCAAGCTTGAGAGCCACCACCAGCAGAGGCGGCAGATTACGGCCTGCAGGCCAAGCGAGCCCCACCTGCTGTCCTCTGTGGGGTCCAGGAACTAGGAATTGATTTTACACTTTTAAATGGTTGGGGGACAGTCAGAAGAAACTTCGTAGCTCATAAAAATTACAGGAAGCTCGGGTATCAGCGTTTGTATCTAGTCTTATTGGACATCGGCCCCAGGCATCCCTTTCGAGCCTCCGAGGGCCGCTTTCCGGCTACAGCAGAGCTGAGGACCCGTGACAGCCCTGACAACCGCCTCAACTGCCCCTGAGGCTCCTTCAGAGACGGTGTGCTGCCCGATTCCGAGCACTGGCCAGCACGCCCCGGAGCCAGACCGCACGCAGGTCGGCCCTGTGGATGCAGGTGAGCGAAGGTGTGGTGTTGTCCTCGGTGGCGCGGCCGGGCAGGGGGAGGTGGCTCTCCCGCCTGCCTGACCAATACAGGCAACCTCTGTCCCAAAATGCAACCCCCACTCACACCACGGTCGCCACAGTCCGATTCCTATAGCCTCCTGTGCTCCCCACTCCTCTCTGTGTCCCCAAGGGTCACTGGCATGGCCCCAGCTTCCCCCAGCCTTGGATCCCAGAGCCCGCGTGCCTCCATACGTGGGCGCACAGCCATCCAGCCCTGGTTCCCCTGTGAACTGGCGCCGCCGTCCCCACACACATCTGCTCTCCCCTCTCATCTGAGGCTCCCCTGCCTCTGGGGCGGCAGGGTTCTCTCCTGCTGCCTGGCCTGAGGGATGAGCTCACCAGCCCCAACGCTTCAAGCACCAAAGGTCTCAGACCTTCAAGCCGCAGAGGCTTCTGTGCAGAGCTTGAACTCACAGGATGCTTGCCTTCTAGAACTCTCCACTTGAAGATTCCTCAAGATCAGCACGTGCATTTGCGAACCCCCTGCCCTCCTTGATCACCCACCCAAGAGTACAATGTCCTCAGTCAGAATTAATCCTAACAGTGTCCACAGCTTCCTCATCAAACAAGATTCCCCACTCCTCCTTGGGGCCCCCTTCCCCCTGCACCCCCCTCCCCGCCAGGCTGGCCAGCCCCTCTCCCGGACACCTCTGCACCCACCCCACCTGGGTGGCTATGGTCTCAGCAGCCAGTCTCCCGGCTCGCAGTCCTTACCTGCCTCTCTGCTGACGTTCCCACCCTTAAAGGTCTCCCTCCTGTACCCAGAGGGGCCATGGCCTGGCCCACATGTAGGGTCGAGTCCCCACCATGGCACCGTCTTCCGGGGCCCCTCAGGACCTGGAGCCCATCCTGATTCCCCTCCCCGGACAACTCTGCTCAGGAACACGATGGCTCTGTCTCTCCGCAGGCCACCCTCCCCCAGAAACGTTATCCTCCACCAGGCTGACTCAGGAGCACCCTCTTGATTTCAGCTACAATCTTACCTGCCTGCTTGCCTGCCTTCCAGAAGCATCCTGTGCCCGGGGCAGGAAATAAAATGTCAGGGCACCACCACCCCACCTGCAGTGCTCACCTTGAAAGCCGGTGACTTTTCACCTCGCCACCCCCGTGTGCTCCAGCCAGGGCGCCAGGGCACCTCTGCCCTGGTCTCTGGTTCACAGAGCAGTGGCTGTGCGCCAAGGCCTCCACACCTCATCCATGCAACCGTGCAGCGTAACGGCTGCCAGTCTGCATGCTCGCGGACACGCGTGTGCACATGCACGCACAAAGGCGCACACGCGCTCACACACATGCACACATAAGGCACATGTGTGCACACTTAGGGCCAAGTCCCCACTCCTTCCTGCCTGCATCCTCCCGCTGGCAAAGGACAGTCACTTTACATGTCCGAGTTCCGTGAAGCTAGCCCTGAGGCAGGGACAATCGTGCTGGCCTCAAAAGGCCTTTGTGAGAACTGAACAGTTTTCCCAGGGGCGCCCAGGGGGCTCAGTCGGTTGAGAATCCGACTCCTGATTTCAGTTCAGGTCAGGATCTCACAGTACATGAGTTAGAGCCCCACATCAAGCTCTGTACGGACAACTCAGAGCCTGCTTCGGATGCTCTCTCTTTCTGCCTCCCCCCCCCCCACATGCACAGTCTCCCTCTCACAAAATAAACTTAGAAAATAAATAAAAAATTTTCACAGTGACATACTGGCAACATGTCTCACAGATGGTTAAACACTCAGTGCTGGCTACTTCCATAATTTTAAGAAACCTTAGACATAGAGAAAGATCTGGAAAACCAAATACTCACAAGCTCCGATGCGGTGCTGACTCAACCGATGACGGTACAAAGATACCGTGCACCCCTCAGGGACCGCACTCCCTGCCCTCAGCCCACCTGCCTCCTCACACACCCTTTCAGAGCTTTGTGCTGCTCTTTAGACTTCTGAAATGGTTCCGGCACCCGCCTTCCGAGCAGCCCCAATGAGCCGCCCCCAGGACTCCTGCCTCCCTGTGAGCAGCACCACCAGCGCAGCCCGGTGCACAGTGTAGACAGGCGACACAATGACTTTCGAGTCTGGACTTACAGAAGACCTGGCCCTGACCTCCCCTGGCTCTCTGGCTCCACGAGAAGCCTGCCTGGGTGGACAGGACCGCGGGCTGAGGCCCCCTGCAGGCGGTACTGGTATAGCACCTTGGAAGACCATCCCCCAGCCCCAGCCAACATGGTAACTGTGACCTCATGGGCTCCCTGAGGCAGAATCACTCAGCTAAGCTGCTCCCAAATTCCTGACCTGCAGGCACGGTAGGAGAATCCCCGTGCGCGGTGGTGGTGGTGGTGGTTTTTAAGTAGGCTTCACGCCTAGTGCGGAGCCCAGTGTGGGGCCTAAACTCACCATCCTGAGATCAAGAGTCAGATGTTCATCCGACTGAGCCACCCAGATGTCCCTATGTGTGTTGTTTTAAGCCACTAAGTTCTGAGGCAATGTGTTACGCAGTACTAGGTAACTACCACAAACGTACATACAAAGGAGAAAGACATAAAGCACGGTTCAATTCTAATACATCAACAAAAATCAGGATTGGGGAAGGTGAAAAGGATTCTTTAAAACTTGGAAACAGAGATCATACACATCAGTCATCAATGGCACTGCTACTGACGCTGAAGCCTTTGGAGGACTGTGGGATTTCCACCACCATGGGGCTCCCCCCCGCTGCTCTAGCTTCCTTGCCTGCAAACAAAGTTCCCCCACCCCACCCACCCATCCCTCTGTGGACTCTGTCCTCCAGTGAATTTTCGTCACCCCCACCGCAGCGCCTGTAACTCTATCCCAGGAACACCGCCCCAGACACTTATGAGCTGAGCCTGGTGGACAAAGGTAACCAAGCAATACACGTTCATGAAGAACTCAACCCACTTCACAAGGCAGAATATTTCCCTTCATTTGCAAGAAGGAACTTGAACTTCAAAAATTAAAAAAAGTCACGAGGTGGCAGCCAAATGTCTTTGAGAGTCATAGTCTTCTATCTAGTGACCCTGGAGAAGGGGCAGGAAGCAGAGGGGTGGCTTCATTCAACCCTGGTTCTCAAGGGCTGGCCACTGATTCATCAACTAACCACCAAACGAAAACTATCCTTGGAGCCACCACCACCCCTCAAAAAGAAAAAAAACCTAGAGAGACTCAGATTATCCTCCAGGGTGACTCAGAGAGCCGCCTCCTCAATCCAAGTCTACAGTTACTTATTACAATTGCTTCTCGGCCTTTTGGCTAAGATCAAATGTACAATTACTTTTTACACAACTAGCAAAAACACACTCATGATAACAACAAAGTCACCAAAACAGTTACAGAACATCCTAGGCTTCATCACTTTTCTGACAACAGAATTACCCAAAACCAACCAACAGCTGGGCCCAGCTGGGAGGGAGGGGCCCATGCCCACCCACCCCCGCCCCCCGGCCCGAACAGAGACTGGTGCGGGCAGGGCAGGGCATCTGTCTCGATGCTGCATGGAATCCTCACCGGGCACCCTTCCGTTTGCGTTTCTGCATTTACTAGGCCAAACCACGCGTCGCGTGCTCTGGAGAGGTGCTCGGAGCCGGGGGTCTCCAGAGCAGCGGCACGGCTCCCCGAGTGCCCAGCACCCCGCACACGTCAGCCCTTCGGGGCACAGCTTGTCAGCAGCGTTTGGAGGGATAGGCTTGTGTTTGCTCTCAGCACTTTCCTTAATACCAAAAGGGCCATCCTGAGAGCAGAACGGGTCCCCAAAGGCAAAACGGGTGTCTCTGGAAAGCAGTTTGAATTCTCAGGCACCCACTTTCTCTCAGAGCTCGGCTGCGTTGCCAGACCACGGAGAAACAGCTGGAGCGTGGCTAGTGGGCTCCTGTCAAGACACCTGCCCGATTCCCAGAGCATGCAGCTGTCCGGCCGCCACAGCAGGGGCCTCCGGGCCCCACGGCAGTGCCCTTTCCGAGCTCAGCACTGACGGCCCTGGTCCGCAGCAGGCCCGGCAGGGACCGTTCCCGCTGCTCCGTGCTCCGCACCACCTCCAACCCAACCGAGGCCGCAGCTCCCCCACCAGGCGCCGGCACCTTCCACGGGCAGACCTTTCAGCTCGGAGACGGAGGGTGTACATTCACAGCTGCATGTTTACTCTTTGGAGGTGGAAGGGGCAGACGGGCAGGTAAAACGGCGTGCACCGCACTTTTCACACTTCCTACAAGTGACGGCCTCCCGCGGGGCCTGCAGCCGGCCGCCTTCCTGCCGCCCAGAGTCAGGCCACAGGAGCGCCCCGCAGCTGTCACTCCTGGAACCACCTTTCAGTTGAGGGCCCTGTGCCTTCTCCTTGGGCACAAGGGCCACTTTCTCCAGGGTAAATACCTGGGAGTGGCATGCTAAGACATAAAAAACACGCATCTTCAGGGCACCAGCCTGGCTCAGCTGGAAGAGCGTGTGACTTGATCTCAAGGTTGTGACTTCAAGCCCCACCCTGGGTATAGAACTACTCAAATGGGAAAAAAAAAATAGATTTTTAAAATAAAAACTTTGAAAACACAGAACAAAACAAAAAAACATGCATCTTCAATTTCACTATGTTGCCAAATTTCTCTTGAAACCAAGTGTAAAGAATGGCAGTCTCCCGCCCCGGATGGGGGCTCTCACTGCCCGTCCTTCCTGAGGCGCAGGGCGCAGGGCTGTGGGGCTCACGCGGCGGCCGCGGATGCTCCCGTGTGGTTCCCTGGCTGCCAGCAAGGCTGAGGGGCAGCTCTCTGTGGACACACTGGCCGTCTGGGCTCTTCTGGACATCGCCGTTTTCATAAACTTCAAAACGGTCTGAGCTCTGCCCCCAGTGTGTCCTCTCATCTTGCTCCTACGTTTTAACGCAGCTCCTCACGGGCCTGACTGGTTTGCCCGAAGAAACCCTCCCCTCTCGAAAAGCACAAAGCTGTCCCGCAGCGGCTGGGTTCCGGAAGGCCTGGGGTGCTCCCGGAGCCCATCCAGCCTGCCCAGCTGGACCTTCCCCATCTGCTTCCACGTGCCACGAGTCTGCTTCGGGCTTCTTCTCCGGGTGCAGTCACTGCCACCAGCGACACAGCCTCCCACATGGTGGGGCGAGGCCCCAGGCGGGTTTCTCTTCAACGTGACTACTCATCATCCACTTACAAAGTGCAAACAAATTCCTACTGGGAGTTCTATTAGGATTACATGGAGTTTTATAGTTTAATATAAGGTAAATTGACAACTTCAACTTCAGAATATGAAACCTTCCTATATATTAATGTGTATTTAGTCAGGTCTGCTAAAATACCAAGTTATTTTTTCCAAGGTCATACAGATTTTGTTATATTTTCTCTTTTTTCTTCAAATTTTTATTTATAACTCTCATTAGTTAACATATAGTGTAATACTGGTTTCAGGAGAATTCAGTGACTCATCCCTTACATACAACACCCAGTGCTCATCCCAACAAGTGCCCTCCTTAGTGCCCATCCCCCATCGAGCCCACCCCCACCCACCTTCCTCTGTCAACCCTCAGTGTGTTCCCTATCCTTAAAAGTCTCCTGTGGTTTGTTTCCTCTCTTCTTCTTCTTCCTCTTTCCTCTCTCTTCCCATGTGTTCATCTGTTTTGTTTCTTAAATTCCACATATGAGTGAAATCATACAGCATCTGTCTTTCCCTGACTGACTGACTTCACTTAGCATAATACACTCTAGCTCCATCCACATCACCACAAATGACAAGATTTCCTTCTTTCTGATGACTGAGTAGTACTCCATTGTACACATGTACCACACATCTCCTTTATGCACTCATCAGTCTATGCACATTTGGGCTCTTTCCATAGTTTGGCTGTTGTTGCTAATGCTGCTATAAACAATGGGATGTGTTACATTTATTTCTTGATACTTTATATTTTTATTGCTGTCATAAGTGGTATCTTTTTTTAGTGTAGAGATTTTAAGTAATCTCTACACCCACTGTGGGGCTTAAACTCACAACCCCCAAGATCAAGAGCTGCACGCTCCACCAACCAGTCAGGTACCCCAAATGGTGTCTGTCTAATATTAATTTCCTTTTTGCTGTTGTTCTTGTATACCAGCCCTAGTGAACGCTATCAATTCTGCAGATTTTCTGTAGATTCTCTCTTTATGTTCTTGAGAGACAGAGAGTGCGCACGTGTGCATGCTACTCAGCCTCACTGGCAGCCGGGGTGGGATGGGGTGGGGGACACCTGAAATGGGGTCTGTGCTGACAGCACGGGGCTCAAACTCATGAATCGCAAGATCATGACCTGGGCCAAACTCGGATGCTTAACCGACTGAGCCACCAGGCGCCCTGTAGATTCTCTGAAGTTTTCTACACAACCCTCTGCAAACAAGGACACCTTTATTTCCTCCTTTACAATTATTCCTTTTTTATTTGTTTTCCTTACCTTACTACCCTGGCTAGTATTTTCACTACAAGACTTAACGTAAGTGGTAAAGACAGGCATTTTATCTTGTTCACAGTTTTAAAGAGAATGCTTCTAAGGTTTCATTAATAAGTATGATGCTTGCTGAAAGTTTCTGATAGATACTCTTCAACAGATTAAGGAAGTTATCTTCTAATCCTGGCTTGCTAACTTTGTATCAAAGAGCAATGAATTTTATCAAATGCCTTTTCTCCATCTACTGAGTAGAAAGATCGTTTAATCTGCGACATAGTGAATCACATACTAGATTTTCTCCCATTACACCTTTATGTTCCTTAGAAAAGCCCCTCCCAACCCACTCACTTCAATATCGAACATCACCAAAACCAGGGGCCGAATCCCTTCAGTTCTTTACAACCAAGTCCTTACCGTGTACTAACCAGTGCCATATTCTATGAAGATGGATTAAGAAAAGTGTTCAAACGCTTTCATCATCAATATATTCCTCCCTGGCATCTCCTTGTCCACAAGGGAGAGACGTTTAGTACCCACAGGCCCGGGCAAGCATCTCCACCCTGCAGGATGAAAGTGGCTGTTCCCTGATGATACTCACGCATTACAGCTAAAGCCTCTGCAACGCTCACTACAGACCACGCCGAGAGCGCTGTAGAACGGATGGATGGCGCTGAAGGGATGTTCCCCAAACTCAGGGACCCCCAGAATAAACACACAACTGAGAACCCGGCACAGTACCGACCTCATCCCTGTGCTTCTGACAGAAGACCAGAAACTGGGCCGCCGCGTCTCCCTTTCTGCTTCGTGGAGCAGAAGCCGTGGCCTTCTTCCTCCCAGGAGGAGACCCGACTCCTCTCTTGGGGTCGGCCTCTGCCATCTTTTGGGGAGTACTCTGTACTGTCTCAGGGTCACTTGCTCGGGTTTCGGCAGAGCTAGCCAGCTTCACTCTCCGCCTTCTCTTGATGGGAATGCCCTCTTCTCGCATGGACGTGGGGTCAGCGGCAGCTTCTTCAGGGACTCCTGAGGGTTCTAGCATCTGTCCCGGAGGCGGAGGCTCCACAGAAATGCCTGCCTCCTTAGCTACGTGAGGGTTGAGGTGAAGCTGGTCCCCTACGTAGAGGAAAGTGAACTTGGCTTTCCGCTCCTCCACTGACATGCTTGCGGCTTCTTCAGCTTGAACGATGCCCATTTCCCACTGGGCCCTCAACTTCCCTGAAATAGGTTTCAACAGCTGAGAAGAAAACCATAAAACACCGTAAATTTCATTATACAAACAAAAAAGTTAACCCACTTTAAAGAAGAATACTTTTAGAGGTCCAGACAAATTTAGAAATCAAAAGCTACAAAAACCAATTAACGTGAAGGTCTAGACAGAATTCAGCCCAATGTAATAACTGTTTCTTTAAACCAATTCCAATCCCATTTAACTAATGTAACATATATACTACATAGTATATGTCATAGATAACACTTTACATATTTTTATGTAAAGAAAAATAAAAATTATAAAAGAAATTATCTCTGATTATCATCCAGTGAGTAAAATGAATAAACTATGTCTCTAAGGACACTTGCGGTATTCCGTAACACAACATACTTGGGCAAAATCAAACAATGATAGACATAAACCATTATAATATATCAAGCAACCATAATTTCAAAAATAAGAAAAATAATTAAAAGTAAAAATCATTTTGGTCTAAAATTATACTTAAGGAACATCTATCACCTTAATTTTCTCAGCTTTCGTGGGTGCCTGCTTGGCACTTTCCTGGCATAATTTTTCAAACTGTCCTTCTCCTTCAAAAGCTACAAGGCTCTTCTCAAATATCCAAGCTCTTTCTGGGGCATCACCAAAGAATTGTACGTGATACTGGCGTGCACTCTTTTTCTGACCTAGTTTTTAAAATAAAATGTTAGAACTTGAATGTCAGAATTTGGGATCAAATTAGGCAAGTCTATTAATAATTACTGATATGAAGTTGGAAGCTGCTTTGAAGTCATGTTATTTGGTTCTGTTTCAGTCTGTTAACCTCAAAAAGAAGCCCTACTCTTTTTATCCCCACCAAACTCCATGTCAAAGAGAAAGGAAACACACTTATGAGGGACTTAGGGAAGATTCAACTTCGACTAAGAAAGAAAGTACATAAATGCTCTCCTTTATCTCCTCCATCAAGATCCACTTAAAAAGAGTACCAAGAGAAGACATCATAACAGGGCCATTCAACAGAGAGGGTGTCAGGCAGCAACAAATGGGATAGAGACTGGTGTCAGACACCCTGGGTTCAAATCCCAACCCCATCACCTACCAGCTGGGCAACCTTGGACCGGCTACTCACTCACAATGCTCAGAGGGGGAATCAGGGTACCAATGACCTCTGAAGGCAGCCATGAGGCCACAGGGTAACCCCTCAGATGTCCACTGCTGTTCTTCTTTGCAAAAAGAAAAAGCCGCATCCTATGGTGCAGCAAGAAGGAAGATGGGTGAGGAAAGAGACACTTGATCCCAAAATCCAAGAGAGGATCCCAAAGTGCCGTATGTGGCTGAAGAAGAGGAAGAATGGAAACAGGCTGGTTACAAGTGGAGGGAGAAAGGGGAGTCCCCACAGGAGGACGGGGGGCGCCGGCCAAAAGAAATCCAAGAACACTGCCTACAGAACCAACACATCCCAGGGGAAAAGTCTCCATTGAGACTTTTGAGGTCCCCCCAACCAAGTGGCCAATGGCCAGCTAGACCCTCTAAAAATAAGCTAACAGTCTCCCCACATATGGACTGCAGCAGCTCTGAGTGGTGCGCTCTCAAATGCAACATCAAGGACCAACCCAGGACCAGGAAAGCCTCCAGCATAAACAAGACCAAAACACACAGAAATAAGCAACCACTGAGGGCCACACACACAATGCCAGGAAGAGAGGACACATGACAAACAAAACCTCTAGTTTGCTATGGAAAGAGACAAATAAAAAGAGCTACCGGAAACTTCAAAATACAATTATGAAAAAAGAAAATCATTAAGAAAGCTTGGAAGGGAAGTTAAGAAATCTCCCAGAAAAAAGAAAAGATTAAGATGAAAAACATCTACTCCTGTAAGAAACCTACATGATCAATCCAGGAAGGACCATACTCAGGTAACTGTCCTTCTAGAGACAGAAACAGAGAAAGTGGTCAAAGAATTGACAAGAGACCACGTTTCAGGACTAGAACAATTCAAAGTGTCGCGCCCAGTGCCCACACCACGGCGCATCTTCGAGGCATTTAAGGTGCTGGAGGAGGACAGGCTCCGTGCTGCCGGAACAAAACATAGAATGGGCATCAGCAATTCCGGACGCTGGAAGGAAATGAGGTCATGTCTTCAAAATTCTGAAAAGAATGATTTTCAGCATAAAATTCTATACTGAGCCAAACCGTGCATCAAGCGTAAAGATAGAGAAGTGGCATCCTCTGAACCACAAGGACTCAAATTTACAACCCGTATACACTTACTTAGAATACCAAAAATATATGCCAGCAAAAAAAAGAAAACTGACGGGGTGCCTGGGTGGCTTAGTCAGTTAAGCGTCCGACTTTCACTTAGGTCATGATCTCGCGGTTCGTGGGTTCGAGCCCCGCGTCGGGCTCTGTGCTGACTGCCAGCTCAGAGCCTGGAGCCTGTTTCAGTCTGTGACTCCCTCTCTCTCTGACCCTGCCCTACTCACGCTGTCTCTCTCTCTCTCTCTCCCCTAGAAATAAAACATTAAAAAAAAAAAAAATTAAAAAAAGAAAAAAGAAAAAAGAAAACTGACCAAAAGCACAGCGTGTAACCACAGACAACAATGCACGTAACTCAGGAACGCGTCTTTAAGAAATCTAAGATTACTTAATGCAGAAGAGTGCCGGCAGTACAGACTGAAGCAGGAAAATGGAAAATTCTAGCAGAGAGCTCCAGGGGAAGAAAAGATGAGGAAAAAAAGAACTCTTCTGTGCCAAAAGAAAATCTGAGCAGCAAGGAAAGATGGTTAAAAAATGAGATCCAAGGAGCAGAAAATGGCAAACACAGGTTTTCACTTTTTCCCAATAGAAAAATATACATAAAAAGATGAGTTTCAGGGACAGAAAAATGAAATTTGAAAAACAAATAAGGCTGTATAGACAGTAAAGCATAGGATTTAAAAATAAAAGCAGGGGCGCCTGGCTGGGTCAGTCAGTGAAGGCACAACTCCTGATCTCAGAGTAGAGGCTCGAGATCCACACAGGGCACAGAGCCTACTTTTTCAAAAACAAGAAAGGCAGTAATTAACTCCAGGAAAAAACAAAAAGTTGTACAAGAAAGAAAATGCCATTATAGAATACACTTTGCTTTTCACTGCGTGATATTTACATAAGACCCCAAATTATGTAAACATTTATATTTGATGTAATAAAAACACCAAGTTAATTATATGCAGAAGATGAGAAGAAATAAATTATTTTTTTGAGGATAAATTATTGAAGGAAAATTTTCCATAATAGAAAATCCACAGAAAATATCTAAATGATAAATCAAAAATAGTAAGTTAATTGGGCATCTGGGTGGCTCAGTCGGTTAACCATGTGGCAGCTCGGAGCCTGGAGCTGCTTCAGAGTCTGTGTCTCCCTCTCTGTCTCTGCCCCTCCCCTCCACCCCCTATAAAAATGAATGTTTAAAAAAATTTTTTCTTAATAGTAGTTAATCCAATTATATGACGTTCTGGAAAAGGCAAAACTATGGAGACAGTAAAAAGAACAGCGTTTGCTGGAGGCTCAGGAGGAAGGGGAGATGAACAGGCAGAGCAGAGAGGCTTTTCAGGGCATTGTAACTATTCCGAACGATACTATAATGATGGATGGATGTCGTTACACATTTGTCCAAACCCATGGAATATACAACACCAAGCAGGAACCCTAATTTAATCTATAGACTTTGGGTGATTATGATGTATCCCTGTAGGTTCATGGATTGTAACAAATGTACCGCTCTGGTGGAAGATGGTGACAGGAAGGAAGGCTGTGCATATGTGTGTGGGGGCTATCAGTACCTCAATTCTTCTGTGAACCTAAAACTGCTCTGAAAAAAAAATAAAGCCTTTTAAAAAAGAGTAGTTACAACTAGAAGAAAGTGTTGGAAGTGTTAAAAATAATTAGTCCTAAGGAGGAGAGTGGACTATTTTTCACTATTAACCTTGCAAGAGAATTTGATTTGTTTGTTAAATGTGCATACTTATTTGGGGCACATGGTGGCTCAGTTGGTTAAGTGCCTAACTTCAGCTCAGGTCATGATCTCGCAGTTTGCAGGTTCAAGCCCTGAATCTGAGCCTGCTTCAGATTCTGTGTCTCCCTCTCTCTTTGCCCCTCACTCACTCATGCTCTGTCTCTCAAAATAAATAAATAAATAAATAAAATAAAAAATAAACATTAAAGATTTATTTAAGTGTGTATATGTCTTTGATGTTACAATAGGTGAGATTCAAAACTATGTTAAGGGATTTGTGACTTCTTCCATTACTTTAATACTTTGAAAGAACTTTCATCACAAAAATGACTATAGACATATGTCACACTATTTGCATAATCAAGGTCTGTTACAATACATATAATGAAACAATATGAACTTACATTACTTTTTATAAATGGGTACACAGAAAAATGTTCCTTACAGACCAAGTGGAAAAAAAAAAAAAACAACAGAGATAAATGCTATAGTCCGATCCCAAGTTTGTAAAATAAATGTAATTAAAGTTCTTTCCTGCTTAGAAATTTGGTAACAACATAATTCAGGTTTTTCCTATTTTTGTGGGTTTCTTTAATCCACATGAATTTCACTGGTTCAAGTTGAGAGGTGAATATTTCAGTGTTTTATTTTACCAGGTAATTAACCAGCTGTCCCACCATTTATTAGTAATTATTTCTTCCTGGGCTGATTTCTGATGTTCATCAATCATGTTCAGTACAAAAACGCTGGTCATTGGCTCCTCCTACCCACACAACCTTCTAAAGAACCTGTCCTCCACCAATAGCCCAGGGAACCTAATCTGCACTACAATCCTTCTGTCCCCATCATGGCCCACTGGACTCAAGGTGACCCCGACCCTCTGGGCAAGAATGAGCCAGAATCTCTTCAGATTCTGCAGAATCCTCTGAGCTGACAGCAGTCACCCATGCATGCAAAATGGACCCCACAAAGACACAAGGCTGCTTTGGAGCTGAAGCTCCATGGAGGAAGACAAGCAATTAAAAAAAGAAGAAAGAAGAAGAAAGAAGAAAAGAAGAAAAGAAGAAAGAAGAAAAGAAGAAAGAAGAAAAGAAGGAAGAAGGAAGAAGAAGGAAGAAGAAGGAAGAAGAAGGAAGAAGAAGGAAGAAGAAGGAAGAAGAAGGAAGAAGAAGGAAGAAGAAGGAAGAAGAAGGAAGAAGAAGGAAGAAGAAGGAAGAAGGAAGAAGAAGAAGAAGAAGAAGAAGAAGAAGAAGAAGAGGAAGAAGAAGAATGCAGACAAGTGTCTACAGAAGCAATAAAGAACGGGGACAAAATCACAAGGACAGGACACCACAGAGCTCCAGAGGAAATAAAGGACAAGCATCGCCTGCCTGAATTTCCAGGTCGAGTCCCTGGGGGGCACTAGAGCACCAAAACAGGGAAAGTAGAAACTGACAAAATTGCAACCAGAAAAAGGCACATTCACTATCACAATCCATTACTTCAACATACCTTTCTTAGTAACTGAGAGAATAAGCCAAAAAGGAAAAAATCAGTAAGGAGATTATACTATCAAATAACCCAAGATACAAGAAAGCCAGATTACCTAGAATATTTTTAGAAAATGCTGGAATTTAGAAATAAAGCAATGAGGGTGCCCTTCCATAACAGAAAATGTGACAAAAAACACTTTCCACAACAGAAAATGAC